TTATTTCCTTCTCAGGTAAAGATATAATCCAGTTAGTCCAGGTTATTTCCTTTACAGGTACAGATATAATCCAACCATTAACAAAGGAAAACACTTAAAGTAAATATAGAGTAAAAACAGCATATGAATGGGAGTCGTTTCCTTTTAATGAAGATTCTCTATTGTATGATTTAAAGTCTGTTATATTTAAAGAGAGAATACAAAATATCTCGGTTTGTTAAAGTTCAAAATAGATTCGAATAATCACAATAATATGTTTAGTGTTTTGAATTTTAAAAAACCTTAAGGATATAAATCTTAATGTATTTTTATATGTTATATATATACATCCACAACCTAACAGCGTAGCAAAAAAATACAAGGCGATTCAAACTTGAAATAAGACAGATGAAAGTGGGTAAAAACATTTTACTGTGAGATCAACTCCAGTATTAGAAGCATAAGTTGATGTGTTGTTTCTTTTTATCAAGATTTTCTAAGTACATTAGGTGCACCCGTGAACATAAGCGTTTTGGGTTAATTTCAGTTTTGCCTTTTTAAAACCAGAAGTAACACACTTTTCATTATGATTTCTTGAAATACACAATAAGCTGAAGATTATTCTTGTAAGGGGTACGTATATTTAAGATATTCGAGGCAAATATACCTCCAACTAAGAGTTATACGTAATTCATCTATTAATGATGATTAAAATAATAAAATAAAAATCATGGTACACTTAATAATTGATTGATTTATTTCTTTTAATTTGTCTATTACGGATCTCTATTCATAGATGTATAATTATAGCGTTTCAAGTTTATCTTTTGTTCCCCATAAGTCACTGTTTCTGTACAAACACATTTTCTAAAATATCAATTCCAGTTTGTTATCACCTATTTGCACATTGTAATCCAGAAATGACCGTAGTTCGTCAACCAAATATGTATACTGGTGACAGTTAAGAATGTATTTAATTTTGGCAATATAGAGGTCGTTTTTGACTTCAAACCCATTTCTTTTGGTTGAATAAAAAACCTCATTTTGCAAAACAAATTCAGATTTTAATAACGAACGACTACACATTTGTAGAAGAATCAGATTAAACTTAATATACCAACAACAGTTACATTTGGTGAGTAAAAATCGTCGGTAACTATAAATGCTAATAAGAACTAATTGCTCAAGTTATATACGAGTGTGTTTTCTGTGAACTTAAATTTTTAATTTATTGAGTGAATACGATTTATCCAACTCCACATACTTAAGACAAGGACTTTTGTAATTAAAAAACTAACCAGGTTAATTTTAGACAATACCTACATTACAGCCACTAAATAAACAATGGATTGTTTGTCTTGGGGCAAAGCGACAATGGGCTATCTGCTGTATCTATCACAGGGAATCGAACCTCGGATTTTACCATTGTAAGTCCATAAATTTACCGCTACCCCACCAGGGGACATAGCAATGTAAGACAGACTAAATAATCTAACTACTACCAGGGTTCTCTCTCTTTTTTTTTCTTTTTTGTTTATTTCTGATTTCTACCTGTCAGGTTTTATTGTTTTTGTATTTAGATTATCACTTTGTAACTGTTTACAGTTTTGGTATTTTTGTTCGGTTTCGAGTTATCTTTGAGAGATTTAGATTTGGAAAATCTCGTTTAAATCTTTTTTTTGAAAATTTTGGTTTTGATATTTGTTTGTATACTCTAAGCTCACATATTTGTTTATGGATTTTTTTTCTGTTTTTTCTCTACACCTTTTACAAAATCAAAATTTTGAGTTTTTTTTCTCTGTCAGATTTAGGTATTATTATGTTTCAAAGAAATGATTTGGCTTCCTTATATTTTTTAAGAGATTTGGATTTTTTTTTCGTTCTTATTCTATGCACTCTGGCCCATGTACTGATTCAAATATATATTCCCCATATTTGTGGCTTGTGTATTAATTTACAGATGTTTCAGCAAATTCTTACTTGCACACTATTTTACACGTTTAGCTATGGTCTTCGTATGTTAACTTTGGTTTGTATATCGATTCAACTCATATATTTTTCTGCATTAGATCTGGTTGGTTCACGTATTTATTTTTGGTTCTGGCTATGTCCAAAGAAAACGAAGTATTAATCCTGGATAATCCAAAGTAGTTCCTTCTACAATACGTATTCAGGAAATTTCAAAGTGTATCTTTTAGGTAATTTGATAACGGTTAAAGTGGTTAAATAAGAACATTTAATTCAAAACGATATATTTTACCGATCCAGAAACCTCAACGTATTTGTAAGATGTTTTTGTTCTTGTTTTTTAATTTTACCACAAATAATGTTCTGCGAGGGTCTTTAACTTTCACAGGAACAATTAAACCAATATAATATGTTGTAATTGGGTTATCTCTAAAGTAAACACGTTCTTAATATCGTTTTGCTCTTTTTTTTCTTTTTTTTTACAGGAAAACAATTTTGTTAAAACTCAAATTTAAAATTTGTAATTTTAGCGAAAAACTACATAAAGGTCTATCTGCCAATAGCTGTCCGTAATTTTGAAATAATAGATTAGAGGAAAGATAGTTAGTCAACAGCACCCAGATTCTTTGGCTACTTTTAGCTAACCGAATAGTGGGTTTTGATCGTCACCCTTACAGCGCACTCATAACCCCTAATATTAAGAGCGCGTTATTGGAACAACGGCCCATGCACCCAAATTCACAGAACTTTTAGCTTTGATAGAGCAGTAACAGGAAAACTTATTTTATCGATAGCACTAGATCAGATTCTAAATCTCTAACTAAATGACAGAAGCTCTCCAGTCTTTTCTGCAATACTTAAAAAACTATAGCGAAGTGTATGAAGATTTAGATAAAAAAAAAACTAGTGGCGAAGTTTGTAAAGATTTAGATAAAAAACTTTAGCGAAATGTGTGAAGATTTAGAAAGAATGAGAGATAACTCTTAAAATTCTGTAAGCTCTATTTCTAAAGTGTAGACTAACCTAAAATTATTATGTAAAAAAAGTAATAATCATGTTTTTATCAGTGTAGCAAAGTTGGTTGTTTTTAATAATATCGACTTCCTTTCGTCAGATGATAATAAGCTAGTTAAGCTACAGAAAAACTCGCTATCGACTTTATCAACGTCGAACCTTTCATTAATTTTTTTATCATTCTATTGGCGACATTCATTAGCAAGGTACGAGGAAATATGATACAGGGAAACAGTTATGCATAGGTATAGAAAGTCATGTGTTACATAAAAAGGATCTGAGGTATGTATTATTATAACCTTAACAACGAATAGGATCTAATCACGCGCTTGTAAATTAAAATTTTAGAGGATATACCGCTGGTGCGTCAGACATTTTGTTTCTAGAAAAATAAAAACAAACATACTTCGAGTAGTTTGATATATTTTTATTAATGTCAAGAAGCGTATCTGAAATATGAATATTAAGATTTTCTGTTGTCGTACTGCATTAAGACTTGAAAAGGTAATGGTTTCGTTTTACACTTGCACGTATATCTTAGTAAATGATATTCTAGTTCTATGTATGATTCGACTTTTGATTTCTATTGAATCCGTTATATCCCCCCCTCCAAAAAATCGCGCATTGAACATTCCACCCTTTAGCCCTCCCCATCCACGAACACACATATTAAGATCTTTTCCTGTGACAATGTTGTATGTTTATGCTCATTTTAATTTCTTTATCCCACTATAGTCAGTTTTTAATATTTTTACAGTTTACATGAGATTTGTAGATAAAACTGAACTGAATTGCTCAACTCAATGGAATAATAAGTGACGATCCATCTTTCTTTACAAAAATGTTCAGTGTTATGTTGTCACAGGTAAAATTTATAACAATTGTTGTTCTAACGAATGGCTTATATAAATAGTATTTGTTGTGACACGGCCGGTCCGATGAACTCTGGATTGAGAAAAACGCGTCGTCGGCAATCGATATGGCGAACACAGTGTGATTGAAATACTATTATTATACACACACTTCTTATTCTTGAAAATCCCCAAGGGACTAGATAAAGAACGTAGTGTTAAAAATATAATAAGCCTAATACTAATACTTTATAATAACAATAATAATAAATAAGTTTCATTTTCTTGTTAATTTTGGTCTTCTTATAATATTAGAGCACATATCTCTTTGATGGTCTCAGTTTCCCTCCTAACATTTCCCCTTAACTAGGAATCCCAATGTAATGTAGCCAAAACGTAGTTCATTACTAAGTTGACCATAAGCTTAAAGTGACTTATTTTCACCATTGAAAACAAAAGTCACTTAATAGCATCAAGAGAGATCACCTTATCTAAACATAATGTTTCACAATAGTATTAACGAACATAACGAACATTCGTGTTATACACCACAGCATAAAATAATACTTATCTGGAGATTTGACAACCAGTACCTAATCTAGGCTAGTTTTACTTAGATTTACAGTTGAAATAAAATTTAAAAAAACAAACTTATATTCTGTTAAGGATACCTCTTCAGATGATAAAATATTCACCAAAACATTTATCACTAACTTTGATTTATGGTTTCACTAGGACTACAAAGGAACAATACGACAAATCTTATTACATTTTTGATACTAATAGCAATACACGCACTCTGAGCATTTTGAATCTTTATTGTTTTGGTTCATTCCTTTTCTAGTGATCGACTCCACGGCGAAGATGCCAAGCGGTTTCTTAGAAGGGACTATCATGGCTTTAGGAGCTTATGACGAATGTTTAAACATAAAAGTGCTAAACAGGAATGAAGACAAAGAAGCGTTTCGAGGGAAATACTGTCTGATTGAAGGAAAACTGTTACTTCCTGAAAAACCGAAGAGGGTTTCGGCTAAGACTTTCGTTATTAACGACTCGATGTTTGATTCAAGTGTAAGTAGCAAAATATGTAAAACTAAACAAGGTATATATATATATATATTAATTATTTGTTTCTTTTTGATATAAATTAAATCATGTTTGTGTTTCTGCTTCCTGCTGAGCCATTGGTGAAACTTGGATTACACTAATTTTGGTAATGTGCCTTATTTCATGCTAAATGAGAAGGCACCTCACAACTTTGCAAGACCCTGAACAGCTTATCTCTGAGGGGTTAGTGTACCTCACAACTGGGAAGACCCTGAATAGCTTATCGCTGAGGAGGAGGTGTACCTCACAATTTGCAAGACCCTGAACAGCTTATCGCTGAGGAGTTGGTGTGATTAGGAAAATCACCCTCGGGATATAAAACTTACTTCAAAAAATCACTTGCTCAACCTTTTGTGATATTTTCTTAAATTGTTTACTTACCATTTTTGACTAGTTCTCCAACGTCCTCTTTGTTACACGTGGACGGTACACAGACACCAAATATATAGTTGAAATAGTAGAAGAAGTGGGCGGATCTGCTCAGCTCTTTAAACATCTTCAAGATAGATATGAAATGTGTTTTAACAAAGACCAAACAAACACATACAAAAAACTTAGCTTACACGGAATTCACGTAATTACTCCCATGTCATTTAATTTTCCAATAAACAATCCAGGTACTTTTGGGCCTAAATGTAACATGACAATATTATATGTGCATATGCTGAGGGATTGGTGCCTCAAAATCTGCAAGACCCTGAACAACTTATCACTGAGGAGTTGGTGTACCTCACAACTGGCAAGACCCTGAACAGCTTATCGCTGAGGAGTTGGTGTAAGTCATTTTTTTAAGTAAGTTTTATATCCCGAGGATAATTTTCCTAATCAAGTCATTTTTTGAAGTAAGTTTTATATCCAGAGGAAGATTTTCCTAATCAAGTCATTTTTTAAAGTAAGTTTTATATCCCGAGAGGGATTTTCTTAATCAAGTCATTTTTTAAGTAAGTTTTATATCCCGAGGGTGATTTTTCCTAATTTTGATGAATGTTTATTGTAACAGCTTGAAAGGATGGACCCGGACCCCACTCTTCCTACTCTACTGACCAACTAGGCTTAAACAATGGCTCAATTTAGAGAAATGTAATAAATAAGTATCAATGATCAAGTGTGATACCTCAATAGACCAACTAGGCTTAAACAATGGCTCATTTAGAGAAATGTAATAAATAAGTATCAATGATCAAGTGTGATACCTCAATAGACCAACTAGGCTTAAACAATGGCTAATTTAGAGAAATGTAATAAATAAGTATCAATTATCAAGTGTGATACCTAGTTGAATCAAATAGTCTTAATCATTTTTTTGCTTCCCCATCTTTAATCATGGCCCCCCAGTGGTACAACGGTATGTCTGTGCACTTACAACGCTAGAAACCGGGTTTCGATACCCGTGGTGGGCAGAGCACAGATAGCCCATTGTGTAGCTTTGTGCTTAACTATAAACAAACAAATTTAATCATTCAACATTTGTTTATTAACGGTTTTTCTCAAAAGGCAAAAGCTTTCCAAAATTATGGTAATGTGATAGTATTTTATTAAGATTTTAAATTTTTTGTCTGTGTTTTAGTCTAGTCAGATTGATAAATTTTGAATTTTGATTTAAATTTAAATATTATTTTATTTACTAGCAATTTTTTAGTGAGACTACTTCAAAGAGTTGAAGATAGAGATATAAGTAACAGGTTCAAGTGACTACAATACGTTAGTTTAGAGTTATCCTTATACACCTGGACAAGATAACCCTATAGTTGAATTATTATACTGTTTGGTATACTCACATGAATTTATTTTGAAAGTCTTATATTTGAAATGATCTTGTTTCTAATTTTGTCATAATTCAACAGCTTAATGCATACTTATGTATTAATAAGCATATTATTTGTTTGTTTGTAATTAAGCACAAAGTTACACAATGGGCTATCTGGGCTCTGCCCACCACGGGTATTGAAACCCTGTTTTTAACGTTGTAAGTTCGCAGACATACCGCCGTGCCACTGGGAGACGAGCGTGATATTTCTGTTTTGTTGACAGTTTGTTGTGAATTATAGGAGTTATTTTTTAATGTAGTTTCTTTAAATAATAAATTAGCCTCGATGTTTGAAGACGCAATAATATATCAAAATTCAATAGCAAGCTTGTTATTGAATCGTTTTTAGGCTTAATAATTTCTCATTTTTTTTTACGTACGCTGACTGTTTCATGATATCGATCGTGTAATTTATTCGTCATATTTAGCTATTAATGTGGCTCCCATACTTTAAATTACGTCAACAGTTACATTGGAAATCGCCAATATATTCCAATCTCAAAACATTTTACAAGCTTTTATTGGCGTTCTTTTCATTATTGTTAAACGTTGAAGTTGGCGAAACAATGAATTTATTAAGACTAAACAAATATGATTAAAACAATTCATAATTGCAAATATTTTGCACCGTATTCTTCTGGGTTTCGATACCGGTGGTGGGCAGAGCACAGATACCCTATGGTGCAGCTTTGTGCTAAACAAAAAGCAACCAATAACCAACCAACTGTATTCTTCTAAGTAATCTCACGGAAATTCCAAATTAAAGGTATAAAAATAGTGATGTTTGCTATAGGTCCAGCTCAGCTGATGAGTTCCAATATTGATGCTGAGCGATAAACTCGCTAAGTAATAAATTCGGTCAATTTAAAATTATATTTTAATGGATCTCTGGTTTCAAAATTTAAAGGAAAATGGTAAAATAATCTGCTCTAACGCGTGACTTTAGGCATAAATTTTAGGCCTTATATATTTTACTCAAAGTATACTGATAACAGGAAAACATTTGAATAAAAAAAAGTGTTTGTTTTTTTATGCCACCGTTTTTCCCTTACACAGCCGGGTTTGAAAATAAATAAAAAAAATTCAAAAGATGAGGAAAATCTATTCGTGAAGGCCTAATTCAACATATTAACAACAGTGTGGGCGATAAATTCTAAAATTATGCAATTTGAAACAGGAATGATAAGGAAATGTGTTTTTAGCCGCGGAATAACGGCTCATAGAATGGCTCTGAGATTTCTTTTTTTTTTTATTTTGAAGTACAAACTCTTTTAGCTCATAGCTCCGTCATCTCTTGACCAATTTGAGATCTAATTACAGTTTTGGACTAAAGATGTGAAACCCATTCGATTGATGTATTTGACCACGCCCAAGGTCTCATAAATTAACTTACTGCAATCCTCTCTAAGAGAATTTCAATTAGAGGGTAGGCTGGTAGAGATTCTGACGAGTAATAAATCGGGTGTACTCGCGCCCTACGCTTGGTATTGTTTGTTTGTTTGTTTGTTTTGGAATTTCGCGCAAAGCTACACGAGGGCTATCTGCGCTAGCCGTCCCTAATTTAGCAGTGTAAGACTAGAGGGAAGGCAGCTACTCATCACCACCCACCGCCAACTCTTGGGCTACTCTTTTACCAACGAATAGTGGGATTGACCGTAACATTATAACGCCCCCACGGCTGAAAGGGCGAGCATGTTTGGTGGGATGCGGATTCGAACCCGCGACCCTCAGATTGTGAGTCGAGCGCCTTATCCACCTGGCCATGCCGGTCACACGCTTGGTATTGCTGGTGCACAAACAAATAGCTAATAAAAAGGAAAAAAAAGTCTCATGGGTTGATTTCTCTAATCCTGACTAAAAGAATTTCAAGTTCCACAGCTACTGAGGATTTTGTTAAATGCAAAACTACACAAAAAGCTATCTCTGCTTTGCCTACCGCTAGTATCGAAACCAGATATTTTGGCATTAGAAGCCTTCATTCTTACCGCTGACCACCGAAGGCTAAATAAATATGAATATTTAGCATTATTTGATTAAAATTAATCTTGAATTAAAATTAATTTGTTTAGTGTAAAGCAAAAAGTTACACAATGGGTTATCTGTGCTATGCCAACCAGGGGGGGCGAAGCCCGATTTTAGCGCTATAAACCTTCAGACTTCCCATTGAGCCACTGAGGAACCCAAATAATTTGTTAACTGAAAGATATCCTTGGCCAAACTAAATACTTTATTTCTTTTTTTTCTTTTCTTTTTTTGAGTAATGGACTGTATTTTATGTTTTGTATAAGTTTAGTATTACGAAGTAATTTTCATTTTGGTCACTCAACTAAGTGAAATGTAACTGATGAAATTTGATAATATTGTTTCTAAACAGTGCAATTCAGGAATTGTATAGTAATTGAGTTATCTGTTTATATTTGTCAGTGGAAACATACATCTTTGCAAAAACTTTTGTTTCTACTTGTCACGTGAAAGAACCGGTTCGATTGGATGTATCTCAAACTGCTGTTATGTAAGTATGAAAATTAGTGCCTACATCCTGTTCTTTATCAAGAAGTGCTTATAGAAACTATAAAATATTTCAGTAACAAAGAAAGAACTTCTATGAATATATAAATTCTGCCATGTATAACACCCAAGGTGGAAAAGCATTAAGGCTTTTTAAACCAAAGAAAAGTGATTAAACTCACATTTGACAGCAGTTTCTTCATATTCTTCTTAATTAGCTCATTATGTACTTCAATTCCAAGGTATGAAACTATATTTTATCAGTTAGTTTGGGAAACAGAATGTTTTTGTTGTTGTTATTCTGTAATGTTAACAAACACTTTTAAACAAATGACATTTGATTCCATCTAACCGAATGACAAAAAACAACAACACGACTTTCTAACTTTAATTAAAAAGAATGTAATTTATTTAGATAAATATATCAAAACAAGAAGAGCACATAGGAACTGGGGTTATTATTTAGGCTTAGGTGTTCGTTTCACCAAACGAACATCCGAGTTGAGATATTATCTTCGGTTCCTATGAGCTCTTCTTGTTTTGACAGATTCGTTTTATTAAACTGATTCTTCACCTTCGTAACATTTGCTCATTCCTTTCCCTCTGTATGTTTTGTGTAATTTTTTTTCCATATTAAAATTTTAACTGTTTGTTATTATATACATATATTTATTTATTGTGTATTTATTTACACATTCCATCGCCAGCGATCTAAAATGTTTTCAAACAAATATATAGTTAATATACACATACAAATATATAAGCATCAATAAAAAAAAAGATAAAATTTATTATCTGACTCTCTCGACATTTCCTGCGTACTTTATTGGACAGGATTAGGCTTTTTTTTTTAAACCAACCTTTATCAAACAGTATTCGATAATTTATAAATGTGATAATTGTGAATGGTCCCTAAATGTTTAAAGCTTTTCTCATTCTTGGAGATATTATATTCGTAAATGTAAACAACTTATTCAAATGAAGCGATATTTAGTATGAAATAAGGATTATTGGCTACATATTTTAATTTTTGTTGTTTACATAGCTCAAAAATTCATTTGTTTATTGTTGTTGTTTGTTTTGTTTTTTTTACCCTGAACAGCTGTGTTTTTGCCCTATTTGGACTTCTAACTATCGTTGGAACTAGTCTGGATTTAATGAACGTTTACGGTGGAACACAAGAGAACAATAGTGCTAGGATGAATCTTGAAAAGAATGGTAACGATGTTTGTCGTTTTTTTTATTGCATAATACGTTCCATTTAGAAACGCATCTCTTTGTTTTTCTAATCAAAACTAACAGTGTTAGGATTAATTTCAAAAAAAGTTTAAAATGTTTCTCGTTTTTTTTGCTTGTTTGTTAGTTCTGTTACTTATTATATTTCAAAATCCACCTCAATTTTTCTAATCACTTATTTTCGTTTTTTTTTCTTTTTATTTCGTCCATGCTGAAGAGACCGTAGCGTGATCGCCTTATAGAAATGACGATCAAATAATTCCACTATCCGGTTTGACAAGAGTTGGCGGTGGGTGTTTTTCACTAGCTGTCTTTTCTCTAATATATAGCTTCAAAATTAAGGATAACTAGCACAGATATCCCTCGTGTAGCTTTGCGCGAAATACAACAAATCTCGCCGAGGAGGAAAAATCGCTGTGCCATTCAGCCTGGTTGTTTGTTGAGTTTCGCGAAAATCTGCTCGATATTATCCGTTTCTAATTTTGAAGTGATAGATTCTGCTGATAGAAGCTAACAACACCCACCACCATCTGTTGAGCGAATCTTTACCAACAAATAGTGGGATTTACCGTCACATCAAATGCTCTCACAGCTGAAAGGGCGAGCACGTTCGGTAACGGAGTTCGATTCTGCGACCGCATATTGCTAGTCGAGTGCCCTAACCACCAGGCCATGCTAGGCTGTGTCTCTTACAACGAAGTAAGTAATCGTCACGTGCAGCTGAATTTCGCGGTTTTCTGCATAACCACAATAACTAAACGCTTAAAAACTAGTTTGTAACAGATGAGAACAAAGAACTTTAAGCTAAAAGTTATTAGCATTTTTCAGAAACTTCTATTTTTGGTTTTGTGCCAGCATTATTATTTTTCTATTTATTTATTACTTATTTTTTGTGGTGCGCTAATTTTCTAAGATCACGCCTTTGCTGTACTGTTTTATTTGGGTGGGTATAGCCAGAAAAATAAACTTACAACAGAACTGGTGCCAAAGTTTGTTTCACAAGTTAATAGCTAATAAAAGTTAAATCGTACCACTATCCATTATATAATTTTGACCATTACTCGAATACACTGCAATTGCTTACAAGTTTAAGTTTCTGTTGTGTTTTTAAAACTTTTTCTCTCTCTTCTGTTTTAACCATCTTTCTGTTACTAAGTGACAGATTGTTATAATATATTCTATCCATGGTATAAATGTAAATTATTCACCCCCGATAGGTCAATTTCTCTACCTACAGTTAAGGAAAGTTAAAGAAAGTTACGTACCGAAAGTAAAACAGTAGGAAATTTCAATTACTTTATTTCTAAGGTTTAATTTTTTAATACAACAGGAACTTGCTTTAGCTTTCATATCAAACGTAGAAAAAATAATAATCCGATTGTTTTTAGAATGATAATCAGAAAACTATTACATTTCATCGTGAATCGTTAAATTCGTGTTGCTAAACTTTAAGGACTATCGAAACATTTTCCAATTTTCATCATACTTTCAATTTTCTTGAGCTTTATACTTTACTTCTCGTCATTTATAACTGATAACATAATGTTAAAAATATTTATCCCAATTCTGATTTGCTGGGATGTTAATAAATTAATAAAATTGTGTTAAAATTTTACATTTTAGTAACTTAGTCCAGTTCGCCCCCCAGTGACACAGCGGTATGTCTGCGGACTTACAACGCTAGAAACCGGGTTTCGATACCCGTGGTGGGCAGAGCACAGATAGCCCTTGTGTAGCTTTGTGCATAATTAAAAACAGACAGACAAAAAACAGACAGTCCAGTTCACACCGTAACGGACTTGGATTGTCTGGTTCCTGAGTAGGTGCAGTATGCAGTTTACGCTCTATCAGTCTTTGAAGCGTTATAACTAGATGGTTAATCCCTCTATTCGTTAATAAAGAGTAACCCAAGAGTTGGCGATTGGTGGTGTTGACTAGTTGCCTTTTCTCTAATCTGTCACTTCGAAATTAGGATCAACTAGAGCATTTAGCCCTCTATAACTTTTCGCGAAGATTCAACAAATAAACATCACATTGTAGATATTGTTGTAAGGCAGTTTGCCAATATAAATATTGTTTCAACCAATACTGTTTTTCGCCTTTAAACATGCAGCCGACAACAAACATCTGAAAGTACTTTTCCGGTCTACTCACCATGACTTTTCCGTTCTGCTTGAGGTGACAAGTCAGAAAGAATCATTCATTTACAGACACCTCAAGAACAGCTTGTATTAAGCCCAACATTGAGCAGAAAATCGATCGTTCAAGAGCGGGGAGAAGAGAAATCCATATTTCTGACCACCCCTGGTTTTAAACCAAGGTACCTACCACGACGACGACTGTAACCAGCAGTCTGGAAAGCCCTGGTAATGGAAGAAAGGCCTCATCAGCAGTTGATATAGCAGATATAGTGAGATTGAAATATCATTATACACACCTCTCCACTTTCTTTTAGAAGTTGTTATTAATAATTCGTTGTTTGGATATCACAACATTTCTAGTAATCAGTATGCCCATCGAGACAAATGTCTCTGTCCACTCCACCAAAAAGCCATCAATGGTCAGAAGCTCTTATTAATATTTATACTTTATTATTCATCTTCTGATGATATCAGCTTTTATCCAACAATATTTATCCGTGATTTTTTCAAACCACAAATAATCTTGTTTGAAAATATCACACAGGCATGCGCAGTAAATGCGTTACCTAGACGTTCATGATTAATGAATGTTGTTGGCTACACAAGTTTAGCTTTAACCTGCAGTGTTGTCATCTGGTGGAACATGTTTAACTGTCACCACGCGAATTTGTAAGTTAGCCATCTTTTAGCGCAAAACTACACGACTACTACTTGCACTTTGTCCATCGCGGTGAATCGAACCCCAGATTTTAACAATGTAAGTCCAGAAGCTTACCGCTGACGCAGAACATTTGGAAAATTTAAACATTTAGAATGTTGATAATATTCTAATACAATACAAATATCATTCAAACACTTTATATCATTTTTTAAAACAGTGGATATTTGAAGTTTAATTATTATTAACTGACTGAATATTTCAGAGCGTGCTTATTTCTTTTAAGGGTTTTATTTCGATTAATTCTTTATTCCAAAAAACATACCACTGGTCGACAAAGTCAAACTTTTTTCTCTCATCAAAGATGTAAACACGCTTTTCTAAACCATCTTTGCACGCTGATTTCAAATGTGTTTTCGGTTTTCTTCTAGCACATCTAGTTATCGAAATATGACTGGTGTTAATTTCAGCACAATTCAGGTAATAATCACACATTAGACTAGTTAACGTTACAACTTTATTCATTTTTCATTATAATTCCCATAAACGATATACACACTATACATTTGTTTAAATTTATGCAGTACACACTTACGAAAAAGAAATGTACAACAACTTAATTTATAGTTAAGGCAATAACCTTTAACATTTGATCGGTCTCATCACGAAAACTTGACGCGCCAGTGGAAAACCAAAACCAGATTTGGAATCAGCGTCCCAAGAGCTATCTAGACCGCCTATAATTATATCTGATAAAAATAATTTGTTGGCAAGTATAATTTTATTAACATTCTATTTTATAATAAACCTCTACAGTGTTTCTTAAATTTGAGAGATGTGTGCATGACTGATTTTTTTTCTTCTTTGTTTAGGTAAACTGGTTCAGAAGTTTTTTTTAGCTTTTTCTCTCTATTCGAACGGGAAGCAGCTCTTTGACCTAAATCAACGTCCTGGTGAAATATCAGCCTTAAATGGAATTCGATTTATTACCTTGACGTGGATAATCCTGTGTCACACGTATGCCTTTGCGCTCCTGGTTTCATTTCGTAAGTAAGGTTTGATCCTGTATTTAACTGACTTGCCCTTAGATGTAATTATTAATATAACTTTTTTTTACCATTTTAGGAAAATACATATTTGTACAAATTTATAAAAGAAGGGGAGATATTCATATATCAAGTTAAATACTTGATTCTTTTGTAAAATACTCAGTACACATGACAAAAGAGATTATACTTTAATTTTGAGATAAAACTAGATATCATTATTATACAAATATCTCTTCAAACAGAATCTTGTAATTTCGGAATATATATATATACACACAGGCCTTGAACATTTGGCATCGTTATTTTTCTTCCAATATATCAACATTGTAATCTAGATTTATTTATATCTCCTAAAACGTTAAAAGTAAAACCATTATTTTAACGAGACAACTATTATAGCAGTGTTGCATATTTATAATACATACTATATCAATGTATCCATTATTTGAATATTTTATCATAGCCCCTTATACAGTTGTCAGTCGCTTTGTGTATAAAACACTTCGCTAATTCATCAGTTCTTTAGTTTCGCTTCTCTAACTGATATACATCCTGAAAAGTTTTACCACACATACTGTTTCGTTTTTATAAATATTGAACAATACAGTTTTGTACAGCCGAATGTGTTTTGTAAGTAGTGATATAGTACACATTTAACGTACTGATTAAAGTTTTGTGTCTGTATTTAATTTGCGTGACATGCTTTTTACATTGTGTGACGTTTATTTGTAATACACTTATTTCTGATTCATTTTTTATAAATAATATATGGTATAACATATATTCGCCTTAACTACTTATAATCTTATTTAATATACGTTTTATCAAAAATGTCCACATTTTATCGATAAGAAATAGTCCTATATATTAACTATATTTCTTATTTTAGATTGATAAAACCTGATAAAACTCAGAGTGATAAGCCATGAACTATGTCACCGTATTTTGTTAACCATTGCTGTGTTTTTCATGACAAAACACTTACTGGAAATCAATAAAGCACTTCAGTTATTGTATTTTATTTTAGATTGATAAAAATCTGATCAGATATCGAGATGATAACACATGGAGTATGTCACCATACTATGTTAATTATTGTTGTATTTCTTAATGATTTTATAACCTAGAACGATAAAACATTTATTGGATATCAATGAAAAAAGAAAACTCCACTTATTAAATTGTTTCGGTGTAACTTTATTGATGTGTCGCCACTGAATGATGTAAAAAACACCGTTTTAATTGCCTTGTTTCTTTTACGATCAGCAGAAACTGTCTTTAAGTGGAAAGATTTCGGGAAGAGTAATTTATTCATTTTTTTCTACAAACACAAAACTATTTTAAATATTTATCCTTCGCATATTTCACTTGTTAAACAATTATATCTTGTTTGCTTGTTTGTTTTTAGAGAAAAGCCACATTGGTCTATTTGCTGTGTTCACCGCGGGGAATCGAACCCTGGATTTTAGCGGTGTAGAAAAAGATATATAGAGAACTTTTTACGTAGTTATTTATTAAATCACACAATTAGATATTTTAATACTTTTTCCTAAAGGTACGTGGTAAAACATCATAGAACTTATGATATTTTTTTCTTGTGATTCCGCGTTGAGTTGGCTGACTTTATTAATAACAGAAAATGACAAATCGACAAGCCACTCAGTAGCTCAGCAGTAAATCTGAAGGCTTAAAAACGCTAAAAACCAGGTTTCGATACCCATTATGGGCACAGTACAGATAGCCTATTGTGCAGTCTGTACTACGCTTAACAACAAACATAAGTGTTTTTAAGTGTGGAATTAAGTGTAATTTGATCATATTTCACAGTTTTAAAGTGTGCTATGCTACGAATTTTATCCTAATAACTGTAGGTTTCTATTTTTTAGGCGATCTCTCGGACTTGCAAGATTCAACTGAAGATTTAGCTTTTGAAGTGATATTGAATGGTTGGGTCAGTGTTGATACCTTTTTCTTCCTCAGGTAAGAAACGGAGGTGATAAAATAACGATTTTCAGGTAAATATAGAATATTTTGTTTCAGATGATGCTACTGCGTTGCAAAATCCACCAAACGATATTATTGTGTTCTCACATAACGTTGCGGCATTGCTGAGTTTACCAAACTATATTGTTGTAATCCGACATTATGCTTCTGCGTTGCAAAATCCACCAAACGATATTATTGTGTTCTCACATAACGTTGCGGTATTGCTGAGTTTACCAAACTATATTGTTGTAATCCGACATTATGCTTCTGCGTTGCAAAATCCACCAAACGATATTATTGTGTTCTCACATAATGTTGCGGCATTGCTGAGTTTACCAAACTATATTGTTGTATTCCGACATTATGCTTCTGCGATGCAAAATCCACAAAACGATATCACTGTATTCTCACATAACGTTTCGACATTACAATGTTTACCAAACTATATTGTTTATTGTTATTGTTTTTTTTCTCCCATAGCCCTTTGGCATTGTCAAGCTTAGCAAACCACATTGTTGATTTAGAAGTTTATTTAATGATTGTTATACACCGAAAAATAGCTTCATTTGATTGAAGGATTGATCACATAATTCATTATACGCTTATTACGATTTTAACCCATATTTCCTGATTTCATCACGATCCTACACCTGCGCTTAGTTGCTTGTTTGTTTGTTTGTTATGGATTTCGCGCAAAGCTACACGAGGGCTATCTGCGCTAGCCGTCCCTAATTTAGCAGTGTAAGACTATAGGGAAGGCAGCTAGTTATCCCCACCCACCGCCAACTCTTGGGCTACTCTTTTACTAACGAATAGTGGGATTGGCCGTCACATTATAACGCCCCCCGGCTGAAAGGGCGAGCATGTTTGGTGTGACGAGAATTCGAACCTGCAACCCACTGATTGCGAGTCGAGTGCCCTAACCACCTGGCCATGCGGGTAACTTATTTGCTGCTCGTGTAATCGTCAAAGATAAAAACCAGTGAGAACAATATACTTGAAATAAAAACGATAAAAACGTAAAATCCGTAAAATATAGTAACCCTTAATTACAATACGGCACTTTACCGTGTTTAAATAAGCAAAAAATATATAAATACTGAGTATACGACTTATCACCTCAAATTCGCATATCTTTAGCCAATTCGTTTGACAATATTCAATCTAGTTAGGGAGAAACCAACACTAAATCACAAGATATTGTAAACTTTAATGGATTGTTATTGTGAATAAAAAAAATCTTTTTTAAAAAATATTTCTATACTAATTGTATAACTTGAAAAACAATTGTACAACATACTAAAAAACAAGAAACATTAAGAAAACACGATTCTGTTATATTTTTTGTCATAGATAATAAAGCTTTTTCGTATGTTGGTTCTATAAACATTTCGTGTTTCTGGGGTTATCTGTCTGTTTTCTTGCTTTAGAGCAAAGACATATTGGGTTATCTGCTGTGTCCGTTGCAGGAAACCGAAACCCGGATTTTAATGCTAATCCTTAAATGACTGTACTTGCCAAACGAGAATTCTATTTGGACATACTACATGAACGTGATGAGACTTGCGATTAAGAACATTTGTTTCTGACCGCCATTATTATACCTTGTTTAGGTTTAAAAACTGATAGAGATCTGAATAAAAGGGACGTCAATGTTATATAATATCATAATTTTCAGTTTACGCACAAGAAGTTTATTAAAAGCTGTAACACTAGTAAGACTAAAAGGTGTGCTAAATGAAATGTGATTATATTAAACATGAAAAATGTTTGTTTATTTGTAGTTAAGCACAAAGCTGCACAATGGGCTATCTGTGCTCTGCCCACCATGTGGGAGGGCATGAAAAATACTAAGCCTAAATTTGTTAAATCCAAAAATAGCCTTACTCATGACATATGAAATGCCATATTACAAAGTTTGTGAGAATATAGCGTAAAGACATCTGTATTTTATAAATCTGACCCATTATTATAAACTTTCTGGAATATATTTATGTTGTCTTTGTCTTTAGGATATGTGTGTTTGTTATTTGACAGATATATTTATATCGGGCGTGGTATATATAGCTTACCATCTGTTCCCTACCTTCTTAACTGTCATATAATTTTTCACAACTTATGTGCATATTGCGTCTTTTACAGTTTTACTGTACAGCGTACTTCACGATGTACTCGTATATTAGTTTAATTACAATCTTGTCCTGAAAAGGACAATTTGTTCGTGTTAACATTCAAATTCTAGATATCCATACACTAACAAGCCACGTTTTCCTGAAAAGAACAGTTTAGTGTCGCCTTATAAATGTTCAAACTGTAGATGAGTATCACTACCGTAATGTAGTACAGTTTTACTTACGGTTTTCTAAAAACGACGTAGATGAAATAATATATTCACATGTTTAATCTTCTCAGATTTTCTATGATATAAACTGATAGAAATAGCAACACTTACAGTTTTGTTAACGTATTGCAGTTTGACTTTATGGTTTACTTATATGACTATCTTAGACATGTCCAAAAAATATGTAGTAACACACTATTTTATTAACGAAGTAACACTTTGGTTTTACAGTGGACTCCTGGTGGCCTACATTACATTACGGCGACTTGAAAAGTCTAAAGGAAAAATGAATTTTGGACTGTATTTGTTCCATAGATATTGGAGGTAGAAGCAATTATTTTCCTAAGGGTTTGATTGTATTTTATATACGAATAAAATAATCCATAAAAGCAAAGTTTCGGTTTTATACGCTATAATACAATACTTCATCGCATTAAAGAAATATTGATGATTGTTCTTGTTGTTTATAAGTAACTTAATTCTTTATATTTATCATTATCGTTTTAATAACTTCGATTTATTTACAGTAGACTAACAGTATTAAAGCCCCATCAAGTAAATAACCATCTAAATGATATCGATAATTAATCATTAGTTTATAATGGTTGTAATAATATTTATTTATCCTGTATCCAGGGAAATATTTTTACTCTAAAACACAAACGTTAAAACGGTCGGTCATGGCCTTGCGGTAAGCGTTTCACACAACATACTGTAGATTCTTTGTTTGAGACATGATGTTTGAAGATACTCCGCATTTTAAGTTGTAGAGGCGTTATAAAAGTAACTGTCAATCTCATTATTTGATTCAAATAACCTGTGAAAGCCCTTGTAGAGGCAAGGGCTGCTGCCTTCCTATGGTCAAAATTAGGTTTGGATACGTCAGGCCTCCATTGTAACAGTTTAAAATTCGACTTTCAATTCAAATTTAAAAACAAAATTACTAGATTAAAGGGTAATATTGTGTGAAAGAAGGGGGAGGGTGACTGAGAAGGACAGAAAACTAACTTCCAGTGGGAAAAAGTCAACACAGTAAGTGAACTGTGTACTGAATAACTAGATTTACTGAAAAATATCTATAACTGAAGTTAATGATTTTGGATATTTATAAACAACTTGAGCGTTGCTACGTGCTAGTATTTTTCAGAACTATATTACTTTGTTTGACTTTGGAATTTCGTGCAACGATACTCGAGAGCTATCTGCGCTAGCCTTCCCTAATTTAGAAGTGATAGACTAGAGAAAAGGCAACTTATTAAAACCACCCACCGCCAACTCTTGGGCTAATCTTTACCAACGAATAGTTGGGATTGACCGTCTTACTATTACTCCATCACGACTAGAAGGTCGAGCATGTTCGGTGACGGGATTTGAACTCGCGATCTTTATATTTCGAAGCGAGCACCTTAACCACAAGGTCATAACTACATTTCCTAAATCACTATTTTTGTCTCGATACTATCCAAATACGAAGTATTTTCTCTATGTTGTTTAAATTTACTTCAACTACAATTGTTTGTTTACTTTCTACTCCTTTTTGCGGTCACTTGTTTCTCCTTTTTCGCATAGTTCTTTATAGTGATAATTTGTTTTCCTTCTTCTTTGGAGTATAATTATGTTTAAGATGCCCTTTTTATCTACAAAGAAGTTTTTCTTTGTGTTATATAAGAGTATCTAGTCAATAGTTCTGTCCCTCATAAGCTATAACAGTTTACACGTTAGACACAGATTGTTTTCGAATAGTATAATAACGAACCGTTAGGGTAAAAAAGGGTCAAACTATGCACCCAACTTCTTAAGGTCTAAGGATATTGAATTATATATCAATAGTTAACCCGACCTTTCACATTATGCTAGTAGAGTATTTAACTGACGATTATAATATGCTGTAACTAAACAAGAACAATTTACAGTGGTTATTTGTGAAGTGATAAGGTTTTTCAATGTTGACTGATCGAGAGTCGTGACTCCAGTAGTCTTTCGAAAAAAACATTTTAAAAAATCTACACAAAAACTATTGAGGGATATTTCGTGGCACTAAACGGTAGCAAAATAAGCGATAGAAGTCAGAATATTTGCACACCTCACGTTTATCAAGAATGATCTGTACTCAAAGTTAATCTAATGATCATAAGTGAAACAATAGTAAAAATGGACGCCAAATACTTTACATAAATAGTAGAAACTTACTGGAAAGGCTTCAATCAAAAGGGATTAAATTGGAAAATTACTGACAGAGTTTTGAAAGTATTTTGTCTTTAGGTACATAATGAAATGTCTGGCCTCAGAAATCAATGTAATAGGTTGTCGAAATTAATTTTTTCAAAGATTTTCAAGACTTTAATCCACGTGATAATATTGTTATGTTTACGTGCTGTTAAGTCGACTTGGACTTTAACACCACTTTGAATGATTCATATAAAATAGTTAGCAATTAGTGTATTTTTTGTAACTAATTTGTAATTAAAATATCAAACGTATAAACTTAAGTTATCTATGTATCTCTAGCTTGTTTTAACTAAAAACTATGATCCGTGAAAATTAATAACCTACTGAGTAAATCTGATTTAACCCCTTCCCTTCCGTGATTTGTCCGAGATAACTTCTTCTTTTTAAGCCGTATTTTTAGGTATCTGCCAGAATTTATTTGCATGCATCTATTACATTCAGTAGTCGCTAGATGTTTGTGCTGAGCTCTAGCGGATTTATTGTGAATTATGTATCATAAACACTGTAGAATAGCGTTCCTATTCTTTACTGTAGGTTCATTGGATTTAATATATATTACGTATAAATCCATATATGCAACCTTTATTTATCGAGGGAATTTTGTGGACAAATATAATAAGGGATCATAAAAGAACTTTTTGTTTCATTAATAAATAAGTATAGGCTATCAAGAAATAAAGATTACTGAAGTTTTAATGTCATTAAAAAAAATAGTCTGACTCGGAAGAGGTTAAAAGCACCAAACCGATATGTATTCCTATTAGTGTAAAACGTATCTTAAATTTGTAGAAATATTAGATTCTCGTATTGGTAATTAAGAGATAAGTAGTGAATATGGAAATTATGATGAAATGTATAAAAATAAGTTGAACGTGAATAAAAAAGCTATAATTGCAATCGATTCTAGCCTTTCGTTATTTTCTCTCGTTACATTAAAGAAAGAGTAAACTCTGAAAAGTTTAAGGAACACTTTAACACAAAAAAATCTAACATAGAACTGCAGACACGAATCTTTGGAGAATAATAATAAAATATTTTTAAAATCAAGTCACGAAATCCAGAAATATGAAATCATTTCTTTTTTCCTTTTTTTTTCTTCTTTATTTTGGCATAATCTTTAGTTAAATGTCCTTTGTTTTGACAGACTAACTCCGACGTTGATGTTGGTAATTTCTATACTGATTTTAATGGAAGGATTGGGCTCTGGCCCCCTGTGGGACATGCAAGTACGAAGTGAAGCTGAACGTTGCAGGAGCTCCTGGTGGGCAAATCTTCTTTATATAAATAACTGGAGAGACCATAAATACAGAGTAAGTTTCATCACGCAGGGACCTCTTTCAGATTTAATTAGTTCCTTAAGAATTAGTGAACTCCGAAATCTGACCAAGCACTGGAATCCAATATCCCCAATTTTCTAAATAAAAATCACGGTTGTCTGTAATTTTGCCACTATCCTTTTAATTTGTTTATTGCATGTTTAATATCTGGGATGTCTAAAAATGATATTTCAGATTTACCTTCTGCTAGAACAGGCATGGCCGAGTGATTAGTTTACTGGACTGTGAATCCGAAGATCAATGATCGAGTGGAGTTGCAGAGAAAAATCACGCAATGACAGTCAAACCCAATTATTCTATTAAGGCAGCCCAAGATTTGGCAGTGGTTGTTTTGTCTATTTCTCTACCCTATAGTATATTAATTCAAAATTAGAGGTGGTGAGCACAGATAGCTCTAGCGTAGCTTTGTGCAAACATTGGAAATACACAAAAATATTGTCTTCTACTTGCTAAAAATCACTGACCTAACACCAGGATTTGTCAGCTGAGCTGAATAATGACAAATGAAAGTTGGTTTGAAACGCTATTTATACATATATATATATACAATATATACATTCTATAGCCAGTTTTATTACAAGTATTAGGCCTATCAAATTCCTTGGAGTACACTGTCCTTTTTTTAAAGAACACTTGTATTTTATATTCTTTATTCATTAAAAAGGTATCACGTGAAACGTTCACAAGCTCTCATCTTTCCATATTTAATAATAACATCTTTATATAGTGTAAGGTTAACTTTCGGGGTATCTACTTCTTGCTGTCGCTTCCTTTTTAACCTCTCTCTCTTCCTCTCTAATTATACCTTCATTCGATCTAATTAACAGGTTAATTATTTATTTTAACTTCTCTATTTGTGCATCTATATTTTACCTTCATTCGACCTAATTACTAACATAATTATTTTTTAACTTCTCTGTTTGTACATCTATATTTTACTGTCATTAGATTTAAGTAAAAATGTAATTGTTTTTTATCTCCTATTTATATTGTTTTTATGAAAACTTCGATGTTGTGCAGATATACAAAATATTTTATCGAAAATGATGTTTTTTGGACAATATCGTAGTTTATGCTGATGAACATCGAGATATTCAGTTGTTCATATTTACTGTTGTTTTTTTAGTGTCTTCCACATCTGTGGTATATCTCTGTGGACATGCAGCTTTATGTAATATCCTTGCTTATCCTGATTCCGCTGTTCTGGTAAGCTAATTTATAGATATCTGACCATTCCTTATTGTTTAAAAGAAAGTTTCATTGGAGGATTGGGATTCAACAAACAGCTCCAATCAAATGAACGAAGTTAGTTCAAAAATTTTGGCTGAATTTCGAAATTAAAATGTAGACCAGAAATGAAAATTTTACATTAAAATCAAAATATTCTAAGAATAAAACTTAATTTGAAAAAAAAAAACTACGCCCACATCTTTGCGGAAGAAAACAAGTTGTAAGTTTCGTGGATTTTTCTATATTTCAATACGTCAAAAGCGCTCACAGTTAAAACTGAGATTAATGAATGTAAACTAAAATGTGAAATTATTGAGTAACGTTCGTTTCCACTCCTCTCTATCTTTGTTTTATACGATTTTATATGTACTCAGAAGCCGTCTATGTCAAACATTAAAAAACTTTCAGACTCCAAGAAATTATCACAGCATCAATCAATTGTTTTCCAAGGGATAAAAGATATAACTAGCTGAGTTGATCGTAAGGATCGAAACTACATTTCTCAGCTCGATATGACATGGTATTTGTTACCTAACTATTGTTAATGTCTATTATCCTAAAAAGTCACCAATGTAAGGTAGAAAAATCATAAGTGAGAAATCTAGACAGAAGTTTAGATACTATTTCCCCATGTAAGGAATCTAGCGCCTCCAGTGAGTAAATATAAATAACTGTTTCTTCTGTTTGTATATTACACTGGTAATAAGTTCCAGTGTCAAAACACTACGACTTCTTAATGTATCGGTTAATAACATCCAGTGAAAAAGATAAAACAAACCCACATGTACTCAAAAAGGTAAATCAAACCCATATGTACTCAGAAAGATAAAACAAACCCCTAAGTATTCAAAAAGGTAAGGCAAGTCCATATGTACTCAAAATGATAAAGCAAACCAATATGTCGTCAAAAAAGGTAAGGTAATCTCATATACATACTCAAAAAAGTAAAATAAACCCGTATTTACTCGAGTAAGGTCTGTTTTTATGATTTATTTTTGCACATAGTTAAATTTGATAAAATTGCTGCTTTTACGGTAATCTGTTTCGTATTGTTAAATGTGGATGTTTCTAAATGATGAACCACGGTAGTCGTTCATAATAAGGATCGTCCATTTGTTCTTTTTGTTATTATTTTTTCCGGCAGCCTACAGCAAAAACTGGCGTCAGTATTGCAATCAAACCGGGGCGTCATTACTAAACGGATCATTGCACATTACGTAGGGTACTTTTCAACTTATTCCTATACTTTTCATAAGTTAAATATATAATAATTCCAGTGTAAACAATATTCTCATTTACCCCTCAAAGTTAGTTTTCTTACAAATATTCAGTGTTCCCTTAAAAAGCTTAAGTACAGCGTGAAACAAGAATTACCAGCCAATAATCGACGATACAATCGGCGTCTTTAGGGGGCCAACCACTATATTATGTATGAAGTGAAGGAGTGAAAAACAATACACATAAAATTAAATTCTAGTACACACATTCATAGAATAATTACTTTAAAAGACACGAAGGTTTATTTCAAGCATTGTTTTAGACTTATTTGTTTTATTTGAAAACGCTGCTTTTCTACTGGTAAACTTTTCTCGCACTTAGAGGGGGGTTGTGTCTTAGTCTAAGCATATATATATATACACCCATTGCTATGCATTATATATATATAGTTACGCAGAAGTTATAAATGCTCACTATATTCTGAAACAAAACTCCATGACAATATCCAGCTGCAGCTTAAATTTTTACGTCTCGAACTAATGCTCTCAAATAGTCACTAGCTACAATAAATCATCATGTACCGTATCAGCTAGTCTCCCACGACAGATATCCTTAAGCCATAATTTAAAGATAGCATCAAGTTCAGTTTTGAGCATCGGATCGTCAATCACGGTGATTGTCGATCCTAAGGGTCTAATTATAGACCATTCTGCCTGATTGCGAATTTTATAGTTACTGCAGATAGAGCCGCCTTCGCTGAAGCTGACTATAAGGAGTGACAAAAATCGTGCAAGCAGGATATGGCGATTCTAGGCGAAAGTGAGGCAGAAATTCTGTAGCTATATATATTATTTAGAAAATAATTAGTTTCAGATAAAGTATGCAGCAGCAACGGCTGCCCATCAGAGTGTAGAGTGTAGAAGTGTTAGAAATGGAGGAAGGGGAGGTGTATCAATCAACTCATAATTGTTAATTAACACGTTTTAAACCTTGTAGAGGGTGTAGTATGTCACTCTAAGAGGAAATCTGGCCAACTGAACCAAAACCGTGGCTAGCGGATAGGAGGAAGAGGAAGGGGAAACTACATGTATAACAACTATAAGAAGTATTAAAAATGTTTATTTGTATACATGTCCTATTATATTATGACACATTTTCTTATATTCGCATTGAATATATATGCATGTATCTACATAACTTGAAAACTTCGTATGGCTATCTATATATACGGCTTTACAACTTAAAAAAAGTGTAAAGCCGGCATATATATAGAATTCATGCGGTTACAAAATCTAGTCCATGCACCATTCCAGTATAGTTCAGTAGTTTTTCCAATCCAGTGTTTACAAACTCCCCATATAGCTAAAATATAGTAGCTATGTATATTTTACAAGCAAATACATAACATGAGGTATGTTGAGCACCATGCATCATAGCAATCATACATAGAGTACCACTATCAATGACAACATTGTGGTAATGATATCGGGAGAAATAGCCATCCAATTTGCATAAAGCCAATCCAAACTATTTATTTCAATAAACTAAACCGTTTTAAATAGGACAATATTGCTATTATAAATTTTGATGTCCATCATACATACAAAAAAAAATTGAAGAAACAAGGTTGGAGACACAAGATAAATGAAAAATGAGGAATTTAAAAAGCTGCAAGTATGGATAGTAAACTAGTTAAGCATACAAGGTTGGTGATAGTGTAGACATTATTTACCCAAGCTACAAATCATTATTTTCGCTCTACCAAATGTAATTCTAGCTAACAGCATGGAGTCAAAATAGGGAATTGTAGCTTGAGTAAATAATGTCTACACTATCACTAACCTTGTATGCTTACCTAGTTTACTGTCCATACTTGCAGGTTTTTAAATTCCTAATTTTTCATTTATCTTATGTCTAAAACCTTAAGCTTGTTTGTTTACCATTTTTTGCGACTGCATTTTCACTTTAAACTATTTTGTTTCTGTATTGCTTTCACTATCCCTATGCTCCTTCCTTATGAATTAACAATTTTAATAGTCTTGTAAAATGAACATCAATATTCTAAGTTTCATTGCTATATACTTTTACTATTGTGTTTCAAACACGATTATCATTCCTTTACTTAAAGGTCAGATATTTTATTAGAATGTGTTTGATCACACTATCTTCGAAAGTAATATTAACTTAACTTTTTCTTTGAAAGTGTAATTTGATTTGCTTTCTAATAAATTCTCATTTTCCATCACATGATACATATTACAGATTTATAATTAAAGCCTGACTTTTCATTAGCACCATTTCTATCCTTCAGTGATGTTAGAGACAATGGTTTTGTAACTTAAGTCACAAGACTTATTTACTTAAATGATTGGTTGATTATTCCATAATTTTCTCGCAAAGTTACACAAAACATAGCCGTCACAAACTTCGAACTGATAGATAAGAGGAAAACAGCCCCAATCGCCAACTCTGAATGCCATTTTCTCACTGTGCAAATTGGGGGTAAAGTTGAATATCTTGTACAAGCCAGAAAACAACACAAAACAGTAATTTCTAAGTAGATAATACTGCCTACAAACTGAAATATATATATGTATATATCACCTCAATCAATTAAGTACTACAGTGATATCTATTAACAAAAAAAGATATTTGTCTCGCATTTATCTTGGTTGATATGTTTATGTGCTATACAGTGTTTCTGAAAAGACTTTATCAAAAGTTCTAAGAAAAGATTTCCACTGTTTACTTAATTCCATTTGCAGTACTTTGTATTTAATTGTAAATACAGTATTGAATCAAAAAGGAAGTGTCAATACCTAAAATAATTACAGTATACCAAAATAGTGATTTTATATTGATCAAAGTAACGAAATGGTACGATTTGCTTACTATTTTAGCGTTGCAACCTTTTTGTTGTACAAACCTTCTAAAAATCCTTAATTGAAGTTATAAATACTCAAAAATTGCATATTGTCAACAAAACTCTTTTCACATAAGCCATTTCTGAGAAACCGTAAAGAAAACACACTTAAGCCAAAAAAACTGACTTAACCATAGAGTGAACGTAATGAAATTAAATAATTTTAATCGGATTATATAATCAAAACAGCACAAGAAGATTGTGAGAGAATGTTTCGTAAAATAAGAAGTACATATATTCCTAATATACTGTTCCGCACGTTACAACGTAACTGCACTGTATACAATAAACAGACAAAAAAATATCATCCAATGTTATTTTTTTCAGGAAGCCCATTGTTGGATTTTTGGTGCTTTTTCTAATGGTGCTTGGTTCAAACCTTGCTGTGGGTTTGCTAACAGCATTCAACAACTACTTTCCAACCGT